AAAAAAAAAAAAAAAAATCCCAGGAAGAGTCCAGAAGGTGAAAGTGGTAGATGACCTTCCTGTGTCTCCTCTGCCCTCCACACTGGAACCACAGGGGGCTTTCTAAGCATATTCTACTATGCAGGAAACTTTCTCTCCTGACCCTGCCTATAGGGCAAAGTTCAAACTTCTGAGCTGGCATTCAAGTCCCTAGGTAACTTGACCCTGTGGCTACCTCTTCCTCCAAAGCTCTCTGCTACCACCCAGATGGAACCTGTTCTTCCAGAGAACCACTTGCAACCTAGCCCATGTTCCATGCTTTCCTTCTGCATATGCTACTCCCCTGCCTACACCATCACATTCTCCAGGCAGGCCCTTCACCTTCCACCATACTCTCACTGCACACTGGCCCGTCCCACGCTCAGGCTGAGCTGAATGTTAGCCAGCCAGTTCTGACAGGGGAGGAGAGTACCCTCACTGTGGAGACTGGACAGATGGATGTTCTTAGGGTTAGGTCAGCAGGTCTCTTGGCCAGGTTAACATGTCCCTTGGCCAGAGGTCCCTTGCCCAGTGCCTCCCTTCAAAGCCAATCTACTGCTGATCCATGTTTTAGAATATAGCCCACCACAATTCAGTACCTCACCCCAGCGAGAACTCAGTCTGTCCCAAACATACCAAACTGGTCCCCGGCTCTTAATCGCTTCAGACAAGGGTGGTGCTAACCCAGGAATTCCAAGCCCATGCTCTATCCCCAAGGGTCAGCCAGTCTATGCCACAGCCCAGCATGAAGCAGGTGAATAAGGACAGTGGTTTTGCTCTGGGCCTGAAAAGGTCATAAGGACCTGGCTATGCCTGGCTTGGATCCCTCCTCCCACCATAACTGAACAAACTGCTGCCTCTGCTCTAATGCCTCTTCTGGCTGGCAATAGCCCAGGTCAGGTAGGTCCAATGGCTATGGCCTAGGTGGCAGCTCCTGACCCTCCTGGATGCTGGGGGAGTGGCTGACCAGGAGCCAGCTCTGACAGGCCAACTGGTAGAGTGCCAGCCACTCCTGCTGATCTTATCTGAGCCCACTGCAGGCACCACAGGATAAAGAACCTGTTTCAAGCAACCTTGTACCCATCATAGGAGTCAGAGAGTGAGTGAATACCCCCTGGGACAGGAGCCTGGTGCAGCTGTCCCAGCACCTCACAAAAATTACCATTCCACTGTACCCTATGTCACCTCCCACCAAAAGGCCAACCCCCCCACTGCTCATGCAGAGCTCTACCTTGTAGAGTGTGTTGCGGATGATCTCAATGTTCATCTCATCAAGGTCCTGTTCTGAGATGCAGTCCTGGAAAAATGCCGCTGGGAGGAAAGACATGGGTGTGAGGGGTGTGCAAGTGGCTTAGGCAAGAACCCTGCAGATGCTCAACCACCCTCCAGGACAGAGGGCCACTGACACAAGGCTCATTAGGCTAGGTATTAGGGGACCCCCAACCAGCCTGAGATACTCCTTGGAAGTGGCAGAGTAATACTCTGGGCCATGCGCACTGACCTGAGCTTTTCCTGCCTCCTTGCTCTAAAATTGATTTATAAAGGAGGCGGCCAGCCATAACATGATCTAATCGCCGCTGGGGCCGACCCAAGTTCAAACCATGCCAAAGACAGGCTTGCATAAGAGGCCATGAGATTCTCCCTTCTCCAGGGGCAGCTGTGGAGTTGGGGCCTGATGCCCACAGTTAGAAAACTAGCCTCCCTCTCCTTAAGACAAGGAATGAGAGTGGCAGCTGAGTGGGCATGAACCAGTGACCCAGTGGGCTACTGTGGGGCTGAAAGGAGAGGACAGAGCAGGATAGAGCAGCCCCACTCCACCTAGAGGGCCTACAGACTCAGTGGTCTGACAACTGAGAAACTACAGAAGCCACAAATAGCCCAGAGCTGGTTCAGAGTTACTGAGAAGTCAGACAGACTAGGTCAACAGGTACAGCTTGGACTTCTCTGCTTAGGTCCCTGGGTGCAAGTCTGGTGGCTTCCTGAAGTAAGACCTGGGGCTCAGGATTTTGGCTATGAGGGTACAAGCTGGTTAGACTTCATCCTTCCTCTCCAGCCTCCAGGGCAGGCAGAAGCCAGCACTGCCAAGGGTGGAGTTCTACAGGAAGCTCCTGATTCCCCTCCCTTCCTTAGCCTCTGACATGGACCCTGCATCCTGTGGACACTGTCTGACCTGGCCCCTGGGACCTACTTGGTGGAAGCAAATGAAGTTGTTTGCTTCCCTCCTGTGCCTCATGCGCAGCCAGCTACTCTGGCTCTGCTTGGGGCCACTGTCAGAGCTCTCAAGACATCCAGGGACCCAAGCCCTTCTCTCTCTCTGAGCTCAGATCTCTTATTCTGCATCTTCAGAAAGCAGGCTATTGCCAGAGTTAAAATGTTCCAGTCTGACCCAGAGGGTCTGGCCCATAAAAAACAATAGGAAAGGAGAAGGAAGGGAGTAGGAGTGAGGAGGACAGAATGAAATAGGGGAGATGAGGGAAGAACAAAGGTCAACAGCAGTGGTCAGGTCTCATTTCCTGGCTCGGGGCTGCCCCACCCCTACCAGTCCACAAATCCCACATTGAGGAGCTGACACTAAGATACCACCCAGCTCCTACTTTACTACAGCAGCTCACCCAAGGGCGTGTCCACCAGAATGGCATTGTAGAGCTCAGCAGGTGTCTGTGCGATGTTCACAGCTTCCATCTGTTCGAAGCTGCCTAGTGGGTGGCACTTGGGTACAAGCTCGGCAATGGAGCGCTGATGCAGCGTGCCCGTGATGAGCAGGATCACATTGTCAATCATGTAGCTGTAACTGTGAGGGACAGATAACAGCAAAGCAGCCCACTGGGGTAAGGGCTTGGAAGATCTGCCCAGCATCATGCCCTTGACCCCACCTTGCAAAGTCCCTTTACAATGTGTGCTTGCCCATAGGTGTTGCAGATAGGCACTAAGAGCTCTATCCTTGGGTGGCTCCCTCTCCAAATTCCTTTCAAGTTTCCAACCCTGAACCTAGCACCAGAAGCACAGGACAAACATGGCCTCTCCCTTGCAGAGATGGATGATTCATGCCCCACTGAGGGACTAGGACACACGTAATACCCCCACAGTGTGAACAATGTTCTAAGAGGACCCAAGAACCACAGGCACATAGAGGTTAGGCAGGCAGCCTACCCTGGAGACAGGTGTGGTCAGGGAACTGAGAGGTAAAAGGACTGGGAGATCAAAGTGTGTTCTGGGAAGGGGAGACAGTATGTGCAAAGGCCTGGAGGCATACACCGAGTGAGGCTACACTGGAGGAATTGAATGTGGTCAGGACGAGCAAAGGGAGAGAAAAGGGAGAGCCACTGACTGGCAGGCACTGCCGCCAGCAGGGGGGCACCTGGAGGCTGGGCTTCATCTCAAGCGCCAAGGATCTATGAGACAGATGTAAATAGGGAATTAGGGAGACTTTGTCTCCTTGGGGGAAAGAGAGGAAAGGATGGGGAGAGGGTGAGGAACAGCTTCTCCACAAAATACCAAGGAGGTGCTGGAACCCCCTCTGGAATGAAGGCCTGGGTCAGGCAGACCTGCACAGCCCAGCTCCAAAAAAAGAAGAGCATTCTCCTTCCTAGGGGTTAAAGCCAGGGGGCTGGATGATACTCAGGAATTGATGGGTTGGGCTCCACCAGGCTCCTCCAGGAGGCCAGGTCCAGAGCCAATGGGCAGCAAAGGGGGCCATGGAGCTGGGGAGAGTGGGGCCGCCTAGTTCAGACTTGGCAAAGGACAAAGCTCTGACTCTAACCAAATAACATGGCCCCAAAGGGACTAGGGCAGAGAGTTCTGTGCAGTCACTTCTGGGGTGGGGTGAGGCAGGGGAGATGAAAATGAGAGGCCCCCAGACACAAGCTGCAGTAGCCACAGTTATCTTTCAGCCAGGGATGAACTCAGGGCATAAGACAGCTGCATGAGGCCTCAGGGGAATGTCCTCAAAGGCCAGGCTGTGGTCGTAGAAGGCTAAGATCTAAGTGGAGGCTGCTGCTCTGAGTTGGGCCCTGAGCACAGGTCTCATCCAGGTTTCTGGGGGGCCAAGAGGTAGTCTCTTACCATGTGACAGGATCTTGAGCACCCAGTACTAAGGCTGTGAGAGAAAATCCTGGCAGGAGGCAGTCTCCAGTAACAAGGGACCAAAGGGAGGGAGGTACTGGCCCCAGGGCTGGCTTTTTTGGGGTGCTCCCACTGGGCCCTCCAGGAAGGCAGCAAGAGGAGGCTCCAGCTCCTGTCCTGGCCTGAACCCTATTCCTCCTGCTTTCTCCATACTCCCTCAGCTCCCACCCAGACTGGCGCCCTGCTATGACCTCTGCTCTCCTGGGCCCAGGGCCAGGCAGCTGCCCTCTCTCCATCCTCAGTCTGGCTGGGTCAGCCACAGGATGTACACTGAGAAGAGACATCCCCCCCAGACTCGGGGCCTCAGGCAGAGCCCATCTGCAGCTGCAAGCCAAGAGGCCCATATGGCCAGCCTCATTTCCCCAACTCCGTGTAGCTGGAAGAAAAGACTACAGAGAGCCCACCACAGCTTTGCGCCTTGGCTTCCAGCTCCAGCCTGTATCTTCTCTGGCCAGCACAGTCTCCTGCCCTTGACATCTCCTGCATTTCATGTATCCCATGACATGCCCACTACCCTTCACCACTGCACCTGTACCCCATCCAGTCCCAAAGTAATCATCACGCTCCCTGAGACAGCTACAAAGACCTGCCCCTGGGGCTAAGGATAGTCTTTATTTTTGGTACTGGGGATAGAACTTGGGTCCTTGCGCTTTCAAGTCAGGCTCCGGAACCACTGAGCTAAATCCCCAGCCCTAAGGATATTCTTTTATGCTCTCACATCTTTCAGACACAGAGAAAGAAAATGGTATATCCCTTGTACCCACGTTATCTGAGTGATACCCCAACAACTAGTCTCACTGTCAAAGCAGAAAGGCCCAGAGGGAGCCAGAACCAGAACCTGTCACAACATAAGGTAGAGGAGTTCTGTTCCTACAGCTACTGTCCATATCTCTCCACCCATGTCCAAGGCTCCATTCTTTGGCTCTCTGCTCCTCATTGGCCTTGTTTTCTGAGGGATCCTTACAAACTATTCTCCTCTTTCTAAACCTCCCTCCTCCTGGGACTAGGGACTTAGCCCAGTGGTGTCACTGCCTACCTCACAAGTGCAAGGTATAAGTTCAATCCTTGGTACCAAAAAAACAAAAAATAAAACACACAAAAAAACCACCCACTAAACCTCCCTCCTCCTACCCACTACTCAGGGTAACTGTTTAGGTTGAGGACAAGGCTGGGGTCAAGGCTCAAAGGAAGTGCGGCGGCACTCCTGAGGATACTGGATAGCCTTACAGGAGAGCTCTGTGGGAAGACACTGCTGTCTGGCTTACTGCTGTCCCTCTAGTGATGTGGAACAGGTCAGCTATGATTCACTTTTCAGCCCTGACAGCACATGTGGAGGAGGGTAAAACACCCCCCAATCCCGGTTTTGGTTCCCCTAAGCATCACTTGCTATAAGCCTTAGTAAGGCATAGAAGGAAATGCTAGGACAAGCAAAGGGCCATTCACAATCATGCCACTCAATCCCTTGCAAGGCCCCCTTCTATCCAAGCCAGGCCAGACTCGGATGATCCTGTGCCAGGCCCAGCACTTCCCTCCCTCTGGGCCAACTGCAAAGTTGTTGCAGCAGAGGCCAAGTGCAAAGCTGTTGCAGCAGAGGGGTCAGAATCTTTTCTGGGAGATGGGAGGAAGGACAGGCTTGGATGATGTGGCCCAGCTATATACCTTTCTACAAGGCTGAGGCCGTCAGCAGGCAGGGAAACCCTTCTCCTCTTCCCTGCCTGGCTTTAGCAGCTGCCTCCCTACCCCCAGAGAGCCACTCCACCATTCTTCCCCTCACTTGGCCTCAGACCGAGAGAATGAGGTTCCAGCTGGTCAGCATCTCCCTCCAGAGGAAGACAGCTGGGGAGTGGATGGCCAACTGCCCACTAAGCCTAAGAGGCCCTTGTCGGGTGGGGGTGGGAGTCTATTCCTCTGCCCAGAGGCTCTCCCTTGCCCGATGCCTCCCAAATGGTATGGGTCCCCAAAAGGCTCAGGATGGATTTTAGGAAGCTACTTCCTCTAAGAAGCCTTCAGAGTCCCTAGTCAACCATTCCTCTCCACTGTGCCCTTTGGTGCCACCTGCTGGAGTGGCAAGGCTTCTCAGCCCTGGGGCAGACCTGGCACTGGCCTTGATGACAGGGTTAAATCACAGCCAACTGTCTACTCACAGTCCCCACAAGGGGCTCCCATGAGCTGCTAGCATCTATATTCAATTACATCAGGTTCCTGAAGAGCCCTGTCCAGGGTAGAGAGGGGCATCAGCACACCACCTCTTCAGTCTTGGTTTCCCTTCTGCAATCAGAATAAGTGAAGTGTGCCATTTCACAGAGGTAGTGAGGCTCTGACCATGTCATTAAAATTTTGCTCCTCTTCAGAAGCCCACTGGGTCTTCTCAAATTAGGACTCAAAACCACAGCTGCAGGCTGCAGAGATCTGCAGTCCACCCAGAAACCAAGATTGACTCAGCCAATGAGGGCTGGAGATTAGGACAAGAAAGCCCATGGGTATTTGATGGCTTTCTGTGATCCACCAGGGTGCAGGTTGGGAGTGAAAGGGTCTGGGGAGAATGGCAGTGCCATTGGGCACTTGAAGCCATGGTCCTGGAACAAAGCCTTTCTCTGGCTACCCACTCCAGCTAGTGGCAGTGAGAGCCCTGACACGGGAGAAATATGGGACCTCAGCTCTGTAAGGTGCTGCAGGTTTCCAGCTTGCCAGGTTTGTGCAGGTTTCACATGCCCCCAGGCTGTCAAGAGGCACCTCAGTTGCAGGTAGGTGCTGTGCACTGGGGAAGGCTCCTGCCAGGAAGGCTCACTCATACAAGGACAAAGGCCCTTAGGGCCCAACTGGGAGTTCCCCAGAGACCAGGCTCACTTCTCCCACAAGCAACTCTCCCAGTTTTTCTTCTGATGCCAACTCTCCTATAGGAAAATAAGGAATGTTCCAGATCAAGGTCTCCTCCAAGACCAAAAGCCCAAATAGAGGCTCTATCTCAAGTCGCAGAGAAAGTTAATGGCTGGGTCTGACAGGAGCCCTGGTACAATAGCACCATGAAACTGAGCTGGATCATTTCAAGTCTCCACACTGGTAGTCTACATCAGGGAGACCTAGCTCATTTAGACTGTTTGCCCTACACCGGGCAGCTGCCTTCGCCCTGACCACCCACTCTCTCAAATGACCTCTCTATCCCCACGTGATCCTGGAGTCTTCCTAATTCTGAGAAGACACCTGTGACCCCAGCTCTGCTTGCTGAGGCTGCCCAGGCCTCTAGAGCCTCTGTCTATGCCATCACTCTGTATCCGTGCATTTCCTTCTGGCCCTGGATCTGGTCCAAAGCAGTTACTGGCTGTAGTCTGGCTGGGATCTACACAAGCACTGGATATTGTCACACAGAAGGGCAGAGGAGGCCCTTACCAGCTTCTGTTTGCACACCTTCAGGAACAGGGAACTCAACATCTCCTGTAGAAGCCTGTTCTAGCCAAAGCGGGCAGCTCCACAGGTGGAGGGTCTCTGGGGGATGGATCTAAGTGAGCTCTACAGTCAGCCTCTATTCCCAGCTGAGCCAGCTTTGTCTGTGGACAGCAATAGCTCAGGACTGGTATCTAGCGAATGCTTCTAGAGTAGCTTTCTGTAGGGATACAGGGTCACTGACTCCATGTTCACCACTCAGAATATGTGTAGTTCCCTCAACTTGGACACCTTTCTCCTAATTCTTCCCATAAAATACTTTTTTTCCCTCAGCCAAGTAGCTGCCTCCTCAGGGCATGAATCCCTAGTCTGGGACAGCCCTGGGCACAGATCACAAAGGAAGGCTTTTCTCCCTTTCTGCAATACCTCTCAAACCTTGGATGACCTAATGGGGCAGAATGGAGGAGAAAGAACAGCTAGGGAGGCAGGTATTAAGTGAGAGAAAGAACATGAAGGGAGACTGCTGGGGACCAGACACTATCCAGCAGCCAGGCCTGCAGATCATGGCTACATGAAAGCCAGGTGTGACCCACGCCAGGGCCTTGTTGTGGAGTGATGGACTGCTGGAAGTCAACTAGAGGATTGAGGGATGGAGTAGAGGTGACAGAACAGATAGGGAATGTGAAAGTTTAGGCCCCCCCAAGATGGAACTGTGATGGTGTTAGAGATTTGGAGAATGGTGTTAGGAACTAAAGGGAGGGATGTGCAAGGGAAAGTGGCTGTGCAGACAGGTGTGCAGAGAAGTGTCCACTCGGGGTTCAGGGAGTAGGGCAAGGGATCTCAGAACACTGGCGAAAGGATCTCAGACTAAGGAGGATACTTCTTCCATTGGAATGGGGTTCAGGGGCAGGGTGCAGAAGCAGTGATGAGAGGTGTACTGACTTCTACTGTGTTTCTGGAGGAGGAGGTGGGCCATCTTCCCAGAGAGGAGGCTGGGACAGAAGAATAATATTTAAGATGGGGAGATGGTCTTCTCACCATTGGTGGGAGGCTGCAGGATGCTGAGTTGGGACAGCAACTCCCAGGTTGGCCACCGGGCAAAGACAAGCTGTGGCTAACTGACTGGGTGCACGTGCTGGTCGGGCAGCAAGGATGACCCTCCAGCCTAACAGCCGGCTTCCCCAGCTTTGCTCCCAGCAGTGGAGGTGGGGGTAGGGCAGCTCCAGGATGGAGGTTGCTGGGACTCCTCCAGGGCTGGGGGGCTGCCAGCTGGGTGGGACCATAAGTTGAGCGGCCAAGAGAGCTGCGGATATTGGCAGAAGAGAGCTCAAATGATGAACCAGGGAACCTCAGCTGCAGAGGGTGGGAAATGAAGACAGAGGGGCAGCAGGGGAGTAAAGTCAGTGTCCTGCTGAGTCTGGAACCTGTGTCTCCCAAGGAACCAAAGAGTGGGTTGGATATCTTAAGGTCGTTGATAGAGAGGGATGCCTGACGCAGCAATTTCAGGGGTGGAGCCATTCCAGGTGGTGACATGGCTTTAGGCAGTCGTCAGTGGGGATGGCTGAACTTTACAGCAGAGGAGCAGAAGAGTGGGTCATTGGAGAAAACAGGGTCAAAGAACAAGAAGCCACAGGCTCAGACAGGCTGACACGTGGCCACCAAGCTCTCCCCAAGTGAGGGCTGGAGTAAGTGGACAAGAAGACTATAAACCACAATTGCCCATGAATGGAAGGGGCGGAGAAGGTGGTGAATTCAGACAGCCTGCCACAAGATACTGCTTGGCTGATTTAAATATACTAGGTGCTTTCTGCAGCCAACCTCCAGCAAAGAGCTGGCAGCAGCTCTCTTAATCCTGCTCAGACCTCTCTCTAGTTTTGTATACTGGCAGGCTGACACCAAGACAGACTGGGGGCTGGATGCACAGGCAGGTGGGCAAGTGGAGGATGACATCCACCCTCTGGCGTGGGGTCAGGCTTCCCTTGGCTAGCCCAGCTGGCAAGACTGGAACATTCACCAGGAAGCTGAAAGCCTTGTGCAAATAAGCTGAAGGTAAAGGCTAGGCTTTAGCAATAAATGGACTGCTTCCTGGTATGTCCTTAGTTCTGGCCTTGGAGCAGGGGACACACAGATCCAGGCCAAGGGTTGCGTGAAAGATGGCACACTACAGTTGTGACCCCATCTCCCAAATGCAGCAGCAGAGGATATACTCCATCTCTAGCCTCTTGCCCCAGGAGGTGTACGTCGATGTGCCCATACAGAAGAAGGCAGAGTGGGCCCAGCAAGGACAGCAGGGAAGATTCTGGCAAAGGAGGCCTGTGGCCAGGAAAGGGCCTGCTTCCCAGCTTGGGCAGGTTTCCTGAGCCCTTTAAGTGACCCAGCCTGTGGTTTTTACCTGAGAATGGAATCCTCTATCTAAAACCCCTATTTGAGCAAGTAGATCTTGTGCCAGTAGCTACTCCTTAGAGGTAGAAATCAGGCCAGAGGGCAGGCATCTAACCCTACCTCTCCAGGGTGGTGTGCCTGTTCTTAAGAAAGAGGGAGGGAGCACCAAAATCAGAGAATGGGTGCTGGGAAATGCCTCTCCATAAAACCACTCACGAGCCACCAATGCAGAGTATGCTCACAGACTGACCACTGACTATGCCTCTGCTTACCATCTGTATGGAGCAGCCACCTGACCTAGGGCTATTTCTTTGTCCACCAGGTCCTGGCTCATAGTTCCTGCATCACCCCTGCAGAGGGAGCCTCTCTACCACCCTGTGTACATATGGTGTGTAGAAAATGCGCAGGCCAAGTGCCCTCCTTCAACCTGCAGGTCTTGGAGCCCTCTCCTTGACTCAGCTTCTCCAAGAACTTAGTGCAAGGAGAGTGACACCACCCTCAGCCCTCAAAGAGTTGTGACAGAGAAACTGGTCCAGCACCCACCTGGAGGCAAGACAGAAAGGTGTTCAACCCTCCCTAATCCATACCCTCACCCAATCTCCCTGAGACTGTGGCTATGGTCAGAACAGATGGAGAATGTACCTCAGCCCAGACAGCCCAGAGGGCCTGCATAGCCTATCCTAACAATGAGTCTCTTCAAAGCTCTGCTCATACCCTGAGCCTTGACATCAGCATGGGAGACTGGGTCTAGTGAATGTTCAGTGTGAATGCTGCAAGGTAAGTAGAAAAAGAAAGATTCTAACCTTCCCTAGTCCAACCTCTACAACACTGGGGGAAAGGGGCTGGTGACTCCACTTTACAGGTTGTAACCTCCAGGTCCAGAGTTGTTGAATGGCCTGTCCACTTACAAAGCCTAGGAGGACTCTGACTACAGTGCTTCGCGACAGCTGGCTGACAGAGCTTGTCATCAGGTCTGACAGCTGACAGAGGCATAAAGGCAGCTGACCTAAGCCAGGCTGGGGCCAGCTCCTGTAGGCATAGATACCCTGCCCAGCACGGCAAAGCTTACTCACGTAATAAAGTCCAGGAAGCTAGCAAGTGGCTCATAGGCATGGTTCCTCATGTGGCGGAACTCCACCACCATCTTTTCCTTGAGCCGGTCATCAATGACTGAGACTGTCAGAGGTGAGGCCTCATTGGCCAGGAAGTTGCCATAGTCTGTGCTCTGCAGATGCAACTTCAAGTCTGAAATACAAGGGTAGAGGTTGAGGGCCCACCCTGCTGAACCTCCCCTAGTACCCCAAGTAATAATTTCCATCCAACTCTGGGGCCAAACTCTCCCCCGCAGTTGTGTCCTGCTGCTACCCTAACTTCTACCTCCCTGCTGGCACCCAGAATAAAGCCTTGGAAATTCCCCAGACATATAAATTAGCCCACTGGCCCCAGAGTACAAATACAAGTATAATAACTGTGCCAGAAAATTGACAAGATTGGGAAACCCCAACCCAAGGTACTATTCATATTGAGGTCCTAACCTAGAGCAGAATACACCATGGGCCCTGCCATCTTAGGGGCTCAGGGTTGGAAAGGCAACCCACACAGACATATAAAAGAAAGATGACCAAAACTGTGGGGGCACAGGGGAGTAGGCACCAAAATAGGCCTGAACAGAGAAGGCTACACAAGGCCATGCACAGGGCAGGGATGAGGAAGTGTACAGAAACACCAATGGGGCAGTATGAATGAAAAGGGAACTGAGGGTGAATGAGTGGCCTGAGGAGGTGATGGGTCTGGGAGGAGGCAGGCAGGCTAATCCTAAGGGCTTTCCTAAGCCTTTAGGGACAGAGGTGAGGGAAAAGGAAGGAAAGAAAGGGAAGAAGGGCCCTGTGAGGCAGGACAGGTGGGAATATGCAACAACCAGTCCCTTGACTTCTGTCCTTGCCCCTGCCCCAAATCTATTCCCCAAACAGCAGCCAAAGGTATCTTTTATTGTTCATTTCAGTACCAGGGATTGAACCCAGAGCCTCGCACATGAATTGTTCTACCACTAAACTATATCACCAGTCCTATTTTTTTTTAATTTTATGTTGAGACAGGGTCTCGATAATTGCCCAGACCAGCCTCTAACTTTTGATCCTCCTGCCCCAGCATCCCAGTAGCTAGGATGATAGGTGTGTGCCATCTCATGCTGCTATTTCACTTGGAGTGAGAGTCCCTGCCAGGGTTTTGATAAGGGGGACACTAGGATAGTGATAGCCATACCAAGAACAGTGATGAGAAGACTGCTGAGGGATAACAGAAGAGGTTACATTTGTGGCCACTTCCACACATGCTCCTGACCAAGGCTTCCCTGGATGTTCTTGAGGCCCAGAGAGCCAATTTAATCCTGAAGGACAGGTGGTGCTCACAACCCCTCTACAGGTTCAGGGGACCTCTGAGATACCCTTCCAGCTATACCTCAACAATAAAACAGTCCCTGGGTTACAGACAGGGTGCTAAAGGGGAGGGAGGAGAGTACATGGAGGGAGGCTATGTAAGCGTCAGGACTGGACACTTTTCACCTGCAGGGAGGGACCAGCTACAGCACTTATTCTCTACAGCTCTGAGGCACTCAGTGTGGATTTACCCTCCTAAGTTTGTAGGGGTAACCTGTTGTCTTACTTTCACTCCCATGGCAACCCAAAAAGGAAAAGAAAAGGCACACAGAATGTACCTTTAGGGCCAGGGATTTAGCTCAGTAGTTTGGCCACCTGCCTCTCAAGCGCAAGGACCTGAGGTTGATCCTCAGTACCCCCAAAATAAATAAATAATGTAGGAAGTTGAACTGGTCACTTCAAATGTTCTTTGGATCGGGGATTTAGCTCAGTGGTTCCACCGCCTGCCTCACAAGTGCAAGGACCTGAGTTCGAACTCCCACACCCAAAAGAAAAAGAAAAAGAAAAGAAATTCTCCTGCATCAGCCCCTGAAGTGCTAGAATTGCAGGCATACACCATCATGCCCAGCTTCTACTGGTTTTTGTTTGGTTTTGGTTTTTTGGTTTTTTGCTTTTTGGTTTACAGTCATGTGCCACCATGTCCAGCTACTTCTACTGGTTTTTAAAGAAAATTTCTTCACTGTAATTGATGGTTATTATCAAAGTAATATACTACCTATACTTCTACCTCCAGAAATGGGCTTCAGAGCATACATTTAATCTTTGACTAGATTTGTCTTGTGCAAAAGTCTTTTAGTGTAGGCAGGGTGTTCAGGTCCAAGGCCAGCAACTGCCCAAACCTCCACTAGGGAAGGCTACAGAGTGGACAGTAGTTGGGAGCTAAGGCTGGGTCAGACTGTCTGGCAAGAGACCAAACTAGTACATTTATCCACACAGCCATTATAGCCAGCTGAGAGCCTTTCTCAGCCCAGATGCACATGGAGGGCCCAGAGCAATACAGATTCTTCTGGGAGGGGCCCTTCCTGCTAATGATCCCACTATTCCCTGGGACAGCAAGTCCAGCCCCGGACTTAGCCTGGCCAGCCGATCCCTCCCACCCAAAGCAATAGAACAGCAGGCATTCCCAGACATCTGTGCACACCCTAACCTTCTGAGCCTGGCGCATTCTGCTGGGAGGCTTCCCCAGGCAAACTGTCACCTCCCATTGACAGCTCTCCAGCAACACAGCACAGAACTTCCTCTGCCCCAACCTCTACCTTTGTTCCACATGGCTTCTCTCCCCGGGGAAAGATAGATTAGCAACTTCTTTGTTGCCAACCACCCTTTTCCCTTTCAGACCCCAGTGATTCTCCATCCAATGTCCAGCACCGGTCAGGTGGGATTCCTCATCCAGATCCCTCTAACTGAAAACACACAGACCATGCAGTGGTGTCAGTTCTACACCAGGAGCAACTTTTGTGCCATGCCCATTTTACAGACTTAGCAATGAGAAGTCAGACAGAACCAGAGCTCTGCCCACAGTCCCACCACTAAGGTGTAAAAGGGCCAGGAGGAGGATTTGATCCATCCCCAGCACTGCTTTCCTCCCCTACCCTACTCTGTCTTCCTTGACCACATTCTTCCACAGCCCTCAGCCCAGGACAGACCTTTCAGGTATGGACTTAGCTCCCCAAACAACCATTAATCCCAGAACTGGCAAAAGCAGTGGCAAAGGAGCTGGCCTTGCAGGCCACCTGGACACTCACCACCACCTGTCAATCATAGGCGTAGACCAGTGGTGGTGAACCTATGGCACATGTGCCGCAGCAGGCTGTGAACCTGAAAGCTCTAAAAGGTTCTAGACTGGCCTACTCTGTTGTGACTCAGACAAGTCCTTCTAGTATCACTTGTGGTACAAGCTATTCCTGGAGAAGCTAGGAATGTGTGCATGTGAATGAGCAGGGCCAAACAGGGAGTTTGTTGCACACCCTCCATCCCTTGGGCTTAGCACTGGCTTTAGAGCAAACACCCCAGTGCCTTGGCTGTTGCATTCTGCTGATGCTGCATCTGGGGAAGCCATGGCTCCAAGCACTGCTGGAATGCAGGCGGCCGGGTGGTTTCTGCTGTCGTCTGTCAGATCAGAGCAAACTGGGAAACTCTACTGAGAATCCTACCCAAGACCAGAGGAGTCTTCCTTACCAGGAAACTCATTTTTAAAAGTCCCCAGGGATGATGTCAAAGGGCCGTTCCAGACCACTTTCTCTGGCCAAGCCCCACATCTCCCTGTGACCCAGGGAAAAGGGACAGTCTGCCAGCCAAAAAGGCGACTTGGAAACAGGCAGACAGGCTGATCCCTCAGCTCGCCCACGAGGGGACCACACAAGGCTTCTAAACCAGCTCTGACCCTGCTTCAGAAACCCGGCGCCCAGACTCAGTGGTTGGCAGCCCCAAGCTCTTCAGAAAGGCCTGCCCAGGGCAAAGACAAGGCCGGTTAGGACGCCCTCTCCTCCCCAGCTTCCTGCTCTGAGGGATGCGGAGGAGGGGATGTGACTAGGGGCAGGATCTAAACACAGGAGAAGAGAGGCCTGGAACTTGTAGAGAGCTTCGTGGGAGACCTGGCCACCCTGCCCTGGCCCAGCCTCTGAGGGCAGCCGAGGACGGCAGGGGCTCTGGGAAGACAGGCTAGTTCTGCTCTGGGCTCTGGGCTCAAGAGCCTGGGCTCAACAGCATTCACAATGACCCCTGAGAGGCCCAGACGTGCCCAGGCAAGGCATGAGCAGTTTCTGGTTGGAGCAAACCCTGGGGAACCACTCTGATCTGCCCACAAACACAGCTGTCTACCCTAAATCCTCCCATCAATGGCCCAGCACCAGGAATGTCTAGCCAGCTTGGGATCTCTCACAGCAAAAGACTTCCTAAGAGACTGATTCCTTGTGTTCAAGAAGATGTTGCTATCGGGAAGTTCTCTCTGCAATCTGACCTAAACCCCACCTCAGAAGAAGCTGACCAACTCATTTTCCAGTGTCTCCAGCTTTTGTCAAGGCTTTGGGCTTGCCCCTCAGCACCCTGCCTGTAGGGCCTTCCCGGCCTCTCCTGCCTCCTTCATTCTTTTTTGTTTGTTTTGTTTTTAAGGGGTTTTTTGTGGGGTTTTTTGGTACCAGGGATCGAACTCAGGACCTTGCACTTGCAAGGCAGGCGCAGTGTCACTGAGCTAAATCCCCGACTGCCTGCTTCATTCTTACCCTCAATGTTCTGGCAACTTTCCCCCTCCCACTCCATCTCCCAGCAATACCCAGGCTTAGCCCCATATCTCAGCCGTGGTTCTCCATACCCTCCCTCAAAGTGAAGTCCTCCAACTCTAATGTGTCACTGTCATCTTTACTCAGGGGCCCCATGGCTCTGGAGCTAATTCTCTGTCTTCCTGGAGCCTGTGAGGGAGGCCTTCTGCCCTCAGCACTTATAACCTCAGCACTGCCTCAGCCCTTGACTTTCTGGCCTACAGAAAGCTATCTGTAGCTATTCTCTGGCTACAGTCACCCTCCTCTCATCTTAGCTCCCAGTAAATGCTCCAAGGAAGCTGCCCTAAAAGTTCAGGAAATTGGACTGTTTCCTCAGTTCCAGCCACAGAGGCTGGGCTAGGAAGACACACCCCCAGGCTGGAAAGTGAAAGCCCCTGCCTTCACTCCTCCATAGGGCAGCCCTATCGGGAGGTTGCCTGCATCAAAGGCCATTGTCCCAACTCCAGAAGGGTCCAGCTGAGCTCTCTAAAGGTGCCAGGCTGGGAAGGCTGCAGCCCAATATTTGCCTAGCATGTCTATTTTTTTCCAGGGC